TGGCAAGATCACGGGCATGCTCCTCGAGATGGACAACTCCGAGGTTGTCATGCTGCTGGAGGAGCCGGCCGAGCTGTCGTCCAAGGTCACCGAGGCGATCGAGGTGCTCAAGCAGCACGGCGCGCTGCCTGAGGGCGAGGCCGAGTAGGGCCCTGGGCGGCTGACGGCGCTCACCTGAGCCGTGTGCGTGGATGGGAAAGGCGAGTGCGGGGCGTGGGCTGCCGTCGTGAGATGTGCGGCACGAACGCTCCTGAGGTCGAGCGCTGGTGTGAGCAAGGCATTCGCGCACAAGCTCAGGGGCGGCGTTTACCACTTGACCAGGCGATGCGTGTCAGGCACGGCGGGCGGGCCCCAGGGGCCGGCGGCCGCCGCGCGTCGCAGCAGGAGGGTGGACGTCTCGCGCGCCAGCGTGCGCGAGCTTCTGGCAGTGTCCTGCTCTGCACCTTGATCGGAGGCCGCCTTAAGGAACTGCACGTGTTGTGAGCAGGGAAGACACGGGGCGGCGGCGGCTGGCACGCCCACCACGGGAGCGGTGGGAGTGATGGCTGCGGGGCTCCCTGTGCCAGGCCCGATTGCAGGTGTGCATGTTTCAAAGCCGAGGGTGCAACAAGGCGTGCTCTCTGTTACTGTATGTAACAAATCAAACGCTGCTGCGCGGGTTGGCTGATCCCGCAGCTGGCGGGCCGGCGAGGTTGGGCTTGGCAACAGCGCCCAGGTCACCAGTGGGCAGCCAATGGCAGCTGAGCCGGTGAGGGCTGTTGTTGGGCACGACAGCAGCAGGCGTGGCTTGCATTAGCATGTCACACGGGCCTGCAACGCTTCCAGGATGCATGCTGTGGCTGAGTGCATTGCGACGAGCTTTGCTTCTTTAATTTGTTGCTTGTGCTTGGAGCCCACAGGGGCCCGCCTGAGGCGCATCACGACGCACGACAGCAGCGGCACAGGCGTGTTCATGGCAGCGTCTACAACAGGGGCGCCGGGGACAGTGATGAGCTGCACACGGTGCAGGCCAGCGAGTGCATGTACAAGTGCCAAAGTCCAGCTGTGCGTGGCACCCGCCCCGTGTATGTTGACTGCAACTTGAAAATGCAATTGCTTAGCTTGGTGGCTCTTACTACGTTCGCGCAGGCACCCAAAGAGGGCAGGGTGTTGGAATCAGAGAGACAATCGTGATCGTCAGCTGTCTCACACCTAGCTGCATTACATTACATTATATCACGCTTTTCCAGCAGCGAGGGGAAAAACCCTGGCTCCCCAAAGGGGTAACGCCCCTAACGGTAAAGGCCAGAGGAGAAAGCGGGTGCGGCCAAGTCGGGAATTAGTAAGAGGGCGCACGCCTCCTTGGCAGGAGAGATAAGCAAGCCTTCTTCCAAGCGGGGCGGTCAGAGCAGCGGTCGTCTAGGTGAACGGGGACATCGATCCCTATGGCAGCACAGTCTCGCCTCGCTACGTCAAACCATGACACGCGTGGCCGCCCCACAGCGCGCGGGCCGGGGGCGGCGCTCCAAAGCGCCAATTTGGGCAGACGAGTGTGGGTCATGCGCATCGCACACCTAGCTGCAGGCCATCCAACCAGGCACAGCAGGCCTCAGCGGGCCAAGCTGGTGAATGCGCTGCTGCTGCTGCTGCTGCTGCTGCTGCTGCTGCTGCTGCTGCTGCTGATGCCGTATTGTGGCAGCCCGCTGTGCCGTCGGTGCCAAAGTATCATCTGCTGCTCCAGCATCAGGTCGTGGCGCGGAGTGCACCTGGTTTCATGCACCAACAAAATTCGCCTTTGCGCAGCCTCTGGTGCCCGGAATAAGTGCTGCCTCTACGCCGGATCTGCAGGCTCCACGAGGTGCCTCTTGAGTCCAGCAAACTTGCTGTCTGTCGGCTCAATGCATTGGTTGTCACTATCCTCAAACTTCACCACCTGTGCCTCAGAAGTTGGCAGCCCGTTGCTTGGACTGCGAAACAAGTAAAGGTGCGCAAGGAGTTTGAATTGTCAAAGCAATGAGCCGCACGAGTTGCAGGGACACGCCATCGCGTACACGGGCACCAACAAAAGAGCAGCTGACGGGCAGCAGCCAGGTGCGTGGCAGCGCTACGGCAGGTGTGGTAAGATGTTGTATCTTACCTGGACACGCAAGAATCTTATAAGCCCCTCTGCATGCGTTGCTGTTGCCAACAAGCAGCTGTGAGGGGCCTGGCACATGTGTAGGACCCAACCTGGGATTACATTACGAAGTGGTGGGGCGGGTCAGCTGCCCGGCGGTGCCAACCTAGTGGTGGGGCACCAGCAACATTCCTAGTATGGCCTTTTCGGAACGTTAGTAGTAAGTTGCACTGGTTTCGTCTGTGATCACGGCTTTCTTTCATGCTTATCACCCGCGCATAAGGAGTGGTTCGTTCCCGCGTGCACCCTCGTTGCCCTTGACACAAAGACTTTGTATCGTACAGTTTCAGTGTATTCATAACACCACGTGTTTGCAAAAACGCTGCACACTGCGTTGTCCCGCAGCGTTGTGCAACTGTGCACACACCATGGAGCCCTTCTCCCTGGTGCTGGTGGCGCTAGCGGCGATCGTATTAGTACTGATCTTGAAGTTTAAAGGCTCGAGCAGCGGGCTCAGCAAGGCGGACGGCAAGCTGGGCGACAAGCTCCCTGCGCGCAAGTCGCTTCAGGTCGACGACTCAAAGCCGGCAGTTAGAATCCTATACGGCACGCAGACAGGCACGGCGGAGAGGTTTAGCAAGCAGCTGGGGAATGAGCTGCGTCGCAAGTATGGCGACAGCACGTCTATCGAAGTGAGTCCGGCGCACAAGTCTCTCTTTTGATGTTGATTTTTTCTCAGCGATACAGAGAGCCGCTGAAGGGGGCCGCAGCTGTTGTCCCTTGCTGACCCATTTTTGAGTGGCAACGCGTGTTGCGCACCGCTGCCGCTGTGCCAGTTGGAGGCTGTCCGCCCCACGCATGCGCCACCGCTGAATCAAGGCGCACACACTGCCGTCATGCCACTGTTAGGCATGTGCGCAAGCATGTAGAGGGTTGGTGCGTACCGATTCACTGCCCTTGCTGCCATGCGCCCACCCATTCGGCTCGCCAGTGCCCTCAGTGTGGCTCATGCCATGTCTCCAAGCTCGCTGCCTCTGCACTGCTATGCCTGCGCCTCTTGGCAGGTCATTGACATTGAAAACTACAAGGCCGAACGCCGGCTACCCAAGGAGCGCCTGGTGCTGTTTCTGATGGCAACCTATGGCGACGGCGAGCCAACTGACAATGCCGCCGACTTCTACAGCTGGATCTCGTCCGAGGCGGAGGCGGTGGAGAACGGCGAGAAGGAGCCCTTCTTGGAGGTGGGCGCCAGCTGCAGGGCCAAGGCGGCGCCTGCACGCCTGGCGTTGGAGTTGTTGAAGGCCAGAAAGGGGGTGATAGCGGGATTTGCAGGTGGCTCAGCCGGGGTGACGGCCACCTGGGGGCTCCAAGGTCGCATGGCACGCTGGCAGAGCGGTGCGACGGGGCCATGCACCTTCCAGCATGGCTGGGCGTTGCCATGCACATGATTCGGCCGCCAGGGCGCGCAGGTCGCTTACTGCAGTTTTTGGGATTGGTGTGCGCCCACCTCTAGGAGGTGGCGTACGGCGTGTTTGGCCTGGGCAACAAGCAGTACGAGCATTTCAACGCCGTCGGCAAGCGCATGGAGAAGGCCATGAACACCCTGGGCGCGTCGGCAGTCGTGCGTCGCGGCGATGGTGACGATGACGAGTGCATTGATGATGACTTTGACAAGTGGTCGGCAGAGCTTTTTGCCGCGCTGGAGGCGAGCAGCCACCTGGTTGGCGCGGCTAGCGCAGCAGGCGTTGAGGCCGTGCCAGAAGTCGCCCCTGAGTATGAGGTCGAGATTTTGGAAGGTGAGGTGGGACAGGTCTGGAGTGGGGCTGCAGAGCGTACAGAATGCAGCGGGCTGTTGGGATGCAACTGCAAGGGGGCAATCTAAGGGGCAAGGTTGCCAGCAAAGATTGAGGATTGGTCGTTCCTCGAGGCATGAAAGGCCGCGGGAGGTACTAGGAGCAGACAGCTCGGCCCTTGCCGCCTGCCTCTGGTGTCTGGCTGCCCGCGGCGCCTGCAGCTCGCGCCCACCGTCCCCCCTGCCCGCCTCGCCACGCCTCCAGGACCGGTGGCTAAGTCTGCAATGGCGGCGCCGTTCCGCAGCGGCAGCGGCACCAGCGCGGCGTCCCCCTTCATCGCGACCATCTCCGAGGTCCGCGAGCTGCACACCGCAGCCAGCGACCGAAGCTGCGTGCACGTGGAGATCGACATCTCCGGGGCCAAGGGCCTGTCATATGCGACAGGCGACCACGTGGCCATCTATGCGGAGAACAGCCCCGAGGTTGTGGAGGAGGTGGCGGGGCTGCTGGGGCTGCCGCTGGACACCGTGTTCAAGCTCGCCAAGCCGGAGGACGGCTCAAGGTGCGCCCGCCGGCTCGCCGCGCCGCTGGTTTCACCCGCGCTCGCCGGCCATCACGCGGCCAGTGGCTCGCAAGCTGTGTCTATCGCTGGCTTCGAACGCAGCCTGTGCCGGCGCTTGTCCCCTGCGCCCGAGCCGGGCCTGCGCGCCCAACATCCCCACCACGCTGCCCCCTTCTGCCACCCCGCAGCAGCCTGGCCGAGCCGCTCCCCGGGCCCATCACGCTGCGCGACGCGCTCGCCTACTTTGCGGACGTGCTGTCGTCGCCCCACAAGGGCAACCTGGTGGCGCTCGCGGCTGCGGCGGCCGACGGGGAGGAGCGCGCCAAGCTGCTGCGGCTGGCGGGGCCCCAGGGCAAGGCGGAGTACCAGGAGTATGTGGCTAAGCCGCACAGGAGCCTGCTGGAGGTGGGGGTGCTTGATGCCGCCCCGCTGGGGCGGCCGCACCAGTGGCGGCGCGCGGGGGGGGGGGGTGTATCTTGCGCATATCTGTGGTGGTGGTGCGCAGCGTGGGCGACTCGACGGCGGTTGGCAGTTGCTGTCGGCGCGCGGCGGGCAGCTTGATGAGGGTCAGGGACAGCAGCCGTATCTGAAGCTTCCATCCGGACGGCCAGGACGCCAAGCCTGGGAGGACTCACGTCAGCAGCAGCCCGTTTGCTGTCCGCTTTGTGATATCGTCTGCCTGCCAACGTGCTCACCCGCTGACGCGCCTCCCTCCCCTCCCACCCCGCTGCCCCCTTCCCTGCGCGTCCGCAGGTCATGCGCGAGCACCCGTCCGCCAAGCCGGGCCTGGGCTTGTTCTTTGGCTCCGTCGCGCCGCGCCTGCAGCCCCGCTTCTACTCCATCAGCAGCAGCGGCACGCGGCACCCCACCTCGGTGCACGTGACGTGCGCCGTCGTGAGGGATGTCATGCCGACGGGCCGCGTGCACGCCGGCGTCTGCAGCAGCTGGCTCGCCAAGGCGGCGGTGGGGACAGAGGTGCCCGTGTTCATCCGGCACAGCCATTTCCGGCTGCCTGAGGACGGGCACGCGCCCGTCATCATGGTCGGGCCGGGCACTGGGCTCGCGCCCTTCAGGGGCTTCCTGCAGGTGGGGATGGGCGGGTCGGTGGACGGCGGTGGGGCAGGGTGCGTGGATTATTGTGTGTGTAGGTGGGGGGGGGGCAGGTGGAAAGGTCGGTGCATTGGTTGGCAAATGGGCGGGTGACTGCATCCAGAGGGTGCAGGCTGCGCAACAGTTGCTTTCTGGTGGGGGGGCTCCCGTCTCCAGCTGACTTACTGCATGGAGGCGGAGCTTCCCAGGCTTCGCTGCGTGGTGTGGGAACGTGAGGCGCCCGTGTTGCCCTGTGCCCCCGCCTCCTGCCACCCCGCCTCCCGCGTCCCCCCACCCGGCCCCCTGCTCACCCGCCCTGCCGCCCCCCGCTGCTGCCCGCACCCCCAGGAGCGCCAGGCGTTGGCGGACGACGCGGCGGAGCTGGGCCCGAG